CCTGGCCAACATGGTGAAACCCCGTCTCTACTAAAAAATAAAAAAATTATTCAGATGTGGTGGCACACGCCTGTAATCACAGCTACTCTGGAGGCTGAAGCAGGGGAATTGCTTGAACTCGGGAGGTGGAGGTTGCAGTGAGCCAAGATCGTGTGCCACTGTACTCTAGCCCAGCGACAGAGCAAGACTCCGTCTCAAAAAAGGAATACAAAAATTAAACAGGTGTGATGGTGCATGCCTATAGTCCGTTACTCAGGAGGCTGAGGCACGAGAATTGTTTGAACCACGGAGGCAGAGGTTGCAATGAGCTGAGTTTGTGCTACAGCACTCCAACCTGGGTGAATGGAGTAAGACTCTGTCTCAAAATAAACAAATAAATATCTGCTAAGATAATTCCTTTACCTTTTTTCTCCTTTAAATGTCTGCTTCAATATCATCTTATTAGTGACAACTTCCTCAGCCATCCTTTTAAAATAGCAGCCCTTCTCTACCTCAGCACTCCCAGACAAGTCTGGCTTTCTCTTCTCGGCCCTTATCACTGCCTGACATAGGAGGTTTTTTTTGTTTATTGCCAGATTTCTGCACTGGGATGTGAGCTCTATGAGGACAGATATTTTTGGTCTTGCTTATGGATGCATTCCCAGGACCTAGAACAGTGCCTAGCATACAGTAGATGCTCAATAAATGTGTTGAATGAATGCATGAATAAGAAGCAGTCAGATTTGTTGTGTTAGGCACTGTGCCCAGTGACCCTTCAGAAGCTGCCTCATTTATGCTTCCAGTGACGCTTTTCAAGGAGTGTATTGTTCTCATTGTTTTACAAATGACAGCGCCGAGGCAGAGACCGGAGGTGAACAGGGGCACAGAGCTGGTAAGTGATGCAGTCAGGAGTTGTGTCCAGTTCCTTTGACCTTGGTGTCACCATGCTGGGTGGCTGAGATGCGGAGGGAGGAGTCAACAGGATGCCGGCCCGGGCTTCCAGGCTCTGGAAGATGGAAAAGCGTCAGAAGCACGGACAGAAATGCAAATGCTGGGAAGAAGGCCAGAGCTTCAGAAAAAGAAGTAGCTGAGGGAGGAAATGTTGGATCAAGTAAATATTCGGGGGAAAAATCCTGCTCTTTAGAAGAATGACTAAATAATATATTGTCCAAGACCCTTGTGAGAGTGAAAGTGGGCACTATTTTTTTTTTTGAGACAAGGCCTTGCTTTGTTGCCCATGCTGGAGTGCAGTGGCGCAATCTTGGCTCACTGCAACCTCTGTCTCCCAGGTGCAAGCAATCCTCTTGCCTCAGCCTCCCGAGTACATGGGATCACAGGCATGCGCCATCACGCCCGGCCACTTTTTGTATTTTTAGTAGAGACTGGGTTTCACCATGTTGGCCAGGCTGGTCTCAAACTCCTGACCTCATGTGAGCCTCCCACCTTGGCCTCCCAAAGTGCTGGGATTACAGGTGTGAGCCACAGTGTCCACTGCACTATTTATAATAAGCTGCAGCAAGAAGCGTACATGGAGGTTGTCCCAGCAAAGGGGGACCAGCGGTCCCTTTGGTCTCAGGTGATTGGAACATCCGCGAGATCCATGGCTAGAGATTTGGGTATCTCCCTTCTAGAGTTACACAGGGAAGCCACAAGGTTGGGGTTCTCATCAGCAGGGAGAAGGAGGAAGAGAACATGAAGACCAGCTTTGAGACCCTCCCAGAGATAAGTGGGAGGAGAAGAAGCCCATGGAAGACAGAACCTGAAGGGAGAAGAGGCACAGAGGTCAGGAGGAAAGGGGACAGGAAGGGAGGGGAGCGGGGGAGGCCGCATTTTTAGCGCAATTTAAAAGTAGGTCAGTGGGAAGCTGGTAACAAAAACAAGATTAGAGAATCACTTGTTTTTTGATTTTGTAACAAAATCATCGTTTCAACACAATGCTAAAAGGCATTTAATTAAAGCAGCTCCGAATTCATTTTGACTTGATAACTTTTTTTCTGCTGCTCCCTTATAAACCCTGAGACTCTTTTGGGTGGTTCCTTTTCTTTTTTCTTTTCTTTTTCTTTCTCTTCTCTTTTCTTTTCCTTTTCAAGACAGAGTATTGCTCTGTCACCTAGGCTGGAGTGCAGTGGCGCAATCTTGGCTCACTGCAACCTCTGCTTTCCAGGTTCAAGCGATTCTCCTGCCTTACCCTCCCAAGTAGCTGGGACTACAGGTGTGCGCCACCATGCCTGCAAATTTTTGTATTTTTAATAGAGACAGGGTTTTGCTACATTGACCACACTGGTCTAGAACTCCTGGCCTCAAGTAATTCACGCACCTTGGCCTCCCAAAGTGCTTGGATTAGAGGTGTGAGCCACTGAGCCTGGCCTGGGGTGCTTTCAAAGCCTGGATCAGGAATCAGATTTTGGTGTTCCAGCCTGAAGTTTAAAAAAAAAAATTTTTTTTTTATTTTAAGAAATATTCACCCCTGTAATCCCAGCACTTTGGGAGGCCGAGGTGGGTGGATCACGAGGTCAAGAGATCAAGATCATCCTGGCCAACATGGTGAAACGCTGTCTCTACTAAAAATACAAAAATAAATTAGCTGGATGTGGTGGCATGTGCCTGTAGTCCTAGCTACTGAGGAGGCTGAGTGAGAATTGCTTGAACCTGGGAGGTGGAGGTTGCAGTGAGCTGTCCTTGTCCCCCACCCACCAACAGGACCCAGTGTATGATGTTCCCCTCCCTGTGTCCATGAGTTCTCATTGTTCAACTCCCACTTATGAGTGCGAACATGCCGTGTTTGGTTTTCTGTTCCTGTGTTAGTTTGCTGAGAGCGATCAGCCCGTAGTTTTTTCCTGTGCCTTCTCAGGCCCAAAGCACTACAAGGTCCTGCAGTCAGAGTGTCATTGACACACCGATGGAAGATACAGAAGCAAGGGGGATACTTCTGTGATTTCTTTGGGGTCAGAAAGGTTAAAAATTGAGTTTCTGAGCCAGCATAAGTAATAGTGTCTAAAATCTGGCTTTCCATGGTAAAGTAGAAATTTTAACATTTCATGAACAATTCAAGCAGATATTTTTCTACCCTGGCTTCTTCCTTTATTGGAGAGAGGGAGACAGGGAGGGGGAAGCAAGCAAGCCAAGAAAACCCTAGTTCAAAACATAATTGAAATGATAGCATTAGCAAAAATGCTGGTGTCTAGCAGTAACGTGGTTGGTCTGTCTCGTAATTGGGAAGAAGAGAGAGCTGGGTTGCTGAGCATAACATTTTTGTCTATCCAGACATGGTGAGTTCATTTGGCTCTAGCCAGAAGGTGCCCTTTCCAGGTAGTGATGATGCATGCTTTGTGCATGGCTTTGTGTTCTTGGTTTATTAGACACTAAAGCCTCAGGACGGAGGCCCTGGAAACAGAATCACTCTCTCGCATTCTCTGAATGCGAGTATGAGTAATTGTGTTGGGTAGCAGCATCCGGCAGAGGACAAGCAGCAGGCCTTCCCTGCAGCTTCTTTTTATCACAGCAGAAGTGTTACTGGCAGAAATCACTGTGGCACACAACCCCTGGGCACCAAAAGGAATAAAATCTCACAGGAATTCAAAGGGAACAAAGTCATTAACACCGAGTCAAAGCCTGCTGGCGGACATCACAGAAATCCAATGGGTAGAGAGGGCTCCTGAGAGGAGGAAATGCATGACTCTAGGCTACCCCGCACAGATGGTAATATCAGATCCTAAATACTGGTTTTCGTGGAAGCAGCCTGTAGCTGGTGTTCATGCCACACGGGATGAGTTCGTGTCAAGGCTGACCTTGAGCAGAATGAGGAAGCAGGACTTTGTTTTGGCACACTACGCCCCTCTGCCCTTCTCAGATCCACCCTAAAGACTGAGCCCTCTTCAAGAGTCCCATGCATAGTTTTGTATTCAAAATAAGAATTTATTGGAGGCATATGGTACCTCACCAACTATGCTCAATGTGCTCCTCCTTTCTCCTTTGATCCCCTCCCTCGTCTTCTCCTCTTGTCCCATCTGTTTTATTTCCGTGTCTTTTCTTTTCCCTTTCCCTTATTTTTGACCATTCTTTACTTTTCCAGAAATATGAAACGGGGAGAGAGAAAAGTTGGGAGAGGGTGGGTAGGGTGGGGCTGGGGGAGACAGAGAGAGGAGTCAGGGAGGGAGGGTTATCTGCTACCTGCAGATTTTAAATCTATAGTGTTTGTTGGGGTTCCTTTGTGTAAGGTTTATTCTCTGTAAGGTTTATTGCCGAGTTTAAAATGAGGAAACTGAGGCCTGCATGAGAACAATTAGATGCCAATTTATTTGGCTCCCAGGTGAGGTTCCTTGGTCCTGGGGAAAGAGGCCAGGGAAGTCACGCCTGACTCCTCTCAGGCATGGGGTTATATAGGGAGGGAAGGTGCTCTGACTGGCTGTGGAGAAATAGGACGTGGACGTGGCAAGCTGCTATAGGTAGGTAGGCGGGACTTCCAGTGAGTGGGCTGGATGGGGCAATATGCTATTGGGTAGGTTTTGACGGGGCTTCTTTTAAATTTTGGCAGGGTTTTCCAACGGCTGGCTAGGTGCCGAGTGCAGAGGTTAGTGTCGAGTGCAGATCCTGGTGCTGAGTGCAGAGGGGATTTCCAACGGCAGAGTTTAGTATTGAGTGCAGAGGTGGGTGTGGCAAGCTAGATGCTGAGTGCAGATTCTGGTGACGTAATTTCAGGCGTGGAGAGGGATGGGCGTGTACGAGCTCCTGGTGAGGCAGCCGGCCTTACACTCTGTATTGTTGGTGTTTAC